TGAATTTATCGAAAGAGCTAATGTACATCATCAATGTGGGCCGAGTCCTGTTCTCTGCCCCGGTCTGTGGGCCCTCACAGCTCCTCAGCGGGCAGCTGCTCCTCCTCACACACCAGGAAGCGGAGGGGACGGAAGGTCAGGCACACCTGTCCAAGGTCACAGTGCTCACCAGGTGGACGATGAGCGTGGACCCGGCAGTGTGACCCCAGGGCCTGGGCTCTCTGTCTCTGGGATGTGGGACACCCACACAGGTGATGTACAAATACATTAGCTGTTTCCATTATTTTGTCTTCTAAGCTAGTCATTGGGTTGAAACTTTATTTGTTTATAAAAAAGAAAGATTATTACTTAATTTTATTTATTTCTTCTACTTTCACATCCATGTTTAATATGGGAAAAATCATGAATGAAAAGAACATACAGTTAAAAGGCAAAGATGTGAATGAGGAAGCCCTGTGGCCCCAAATATGTGGCCAGTCCCACCTACTGCTCTTTGCTCAAAGCTTGCCAGGCTTCTGGCATTTCCTGCTCTTTCCACTATATTTCAAAGGACATAAAGGCAATATGTTAGCCTCCTTTTCAACTTAATCTTCTCCCAAAGTTGTTAACGCAACCATATCATCACTTACACTGGTACCAAGACAATAATTCTTCACTATCATGAGATTAGAATACTTGGCAATAGAGCAATAAACAGCAATGGGCGTAACAGCATGGCTCTCTGCATATTGAATCGGATGTTTAACCAGTCAAACAAAACATGGGAGCTTAGAATATACTGTGGGAAATCATACAATAAAAAGTTAGGTGTTAATATGGTCCTTTCTGGTGTGGTCAAGTGGTCACAGCCTTGGCTTGAGGACCAAAGGGTCTGGGGTTAGACTCCTGGTCAAGGGCATGCACCTGAGTTGCAGGTTTGATCACTGTCCCAATTGGAGGATGTGCAGGATGCAAGCAATTGATGTGTCTCTCTCACATCGATGTTTTCTCTCCCTCCCTCTCCCTCCCTCCATCTCTCCTCCTCCCCTTCCTACATTCTCTAACTGGAGTCAGAAGTGAATCGTGGACTGAAGAAGACTTGTTGTGAGGAAGAAAGGCAGTTCTCATTGTTTCCACCTGTAGGGTTTGAACTGTTTGACAGAGTCGAAGCTTTGCTCTTCTATTTGACAAAAATAATCAGTTATTTTAAAGCTACAAATCTTGACTTATCTGGTCAATGAACAATTTCCCTGATCCTAAGTCAATATGGGAACTGAGTTTTTGTTTTGTCATAACCCATTGTGAAAGCACATAAAAACAAATCCAAGTCTCGTCCATTTGAAGCTCTGTGATAACTAGTCTTCAATCAGTATTTCGGCAGAAGTTTATTAGCCAAACTAGTTCTCTGTTTGGATTAGACTTTACACTTCCCATTTGCTCCATGGCATGCCTCTGAATATGTTGTACCCTGAAAGAAAAGGTGCCTAGACTGGCCAGTGTGGCTGTGTTGGTTGGATGTTGTCCCATGTACCAAGAGGTGACCGGTTCATTCCAGGTGAGGGCACATGCCAGGGTTATGGGCTCATGCCCAAGTATAGGGGGTACAGGAGGCAGCAGGTAGATGTTTCTCTGTCCTTGTAGATATTTCTATCTATCTCTCTGCCTCCTTCTTTCTCTAAAAGGAAATAAAACATGTGAAAAATATTGAATGTGAAGAGTGTGCTGAAATTCTTGGACTTGGTGGTGTGGTCTGTTGTGAGCTTACAAAAAAACCGTGCTGTCCTACAGACAGGATCGTACACTGTGTGAATACACTGGCTGGTGTCCATAGACCCCTAAGGACTGCAGTCGGGTGAGAGCAACAAGAGGACGAGAGACCGTCACAGGGACAGGCAGTCAGAGCTACTCCCAAGTGAATCTCCTGGTTGAGAACGAACTTCACCCATCCTCAAGAAGTGTTTCATTTAAAGAAAATTGTTTTATATCACTTTTGGATCCAGTTTATTACTTTTCTAAGGAAATTTGTACAAGTACATGTCAGGGAATGAAGTCAAGAAATGATTCACTGTGAAATCATTCACGAAAATTTACGGATATTCCAAAACTCTGAAATTTGATATCTACCAAGTGACCTCAGTCAACTAACATCCATCCTGATATTTCACTTAAATCCGAGGTCTCACACACACTTGGTAAGGGCTCATTTGAAACCCCAAACAGCAGGGCTGGACGATCTGTGCTAACACATCCCGGGGAGCCCCACCATGCAGTTACTAGTCAAGGTCATCCTCACCCTGTGGGTCTCCTGGGCTCCTGGACAAGGTGAGTTGAAACTGACGGGAATATTTAGCTCCTTCTTAAGTAGGACTTTTGCCCTTTTCATTTGTTTTTACTTTTTTAAAAATCCTCACCTGAGGATATTTTTCCATTGAACTTTAGAGAAAGAGTGCAAGGGAGGGAGAAGAGGAAGAGAGAGACACACACACACACTGATGTGAGAGACACATGGACTGGGTGCCTCTCACACAAGCCCTGACCAGGGCCCGGGATGGAAACTGCCACCAAGACATATGCCCTTGACCAGGATTCCAGCCCACCAGCTAAGGCTATTTGAGGGTAATTTACCAACACTTTGGTCTCTGCATTCATTAGGGACAATCTCTCACAATAAGTCATTTGCAGGAATGATGGAAAGTACAGGGACTGGCTAAATAAAAGTCACCTTTGACCCAATTCACCCATCCCTGTGCAAACTGGATGTTTCTACTGATTCACAACAGGGAGTGCCAATGGGGGGATTATTATTCTTATTCCAAATCTTAATGATGGCTTCTAACTGTAGGAACAATGTGGCCTCACACGTTTCTACAATCTTAGCTGTCACTCTTTTGGATAGAGGCACCTGCCCTGGCAATGTTTTAACAGCACAGTTTACTTTCTTGGAGATGATGAGAGTAGGGAATTACAATTTGTCAAGGGATTTATGCCCACTGCTTGAAAGCTACCACCAGAAGTTCTTCTATTCCTAACTAATCTAACAAAATTCTCCCAATAGTATTTGGTTGGTCTCTTAGGGAAATGTGTGCTTTTATATGTGTCTCAGAGCTTTGGCTTCAAGCATTGGTGATAAGTGTAGCTATACTATGAAGTGAAAACTAAGATATGTAGACTGGACTGCAATGGGAATCTGAAAACATGGTAGCTATAGCAGATTAAAGTGAGAGAAAAACATGTATTGAAATATATATTTATTGATTTCAGAGAGGAAGGGAGAAGGAGAGTTAGAAACATCAATGATGAGAGAGAATCAGTGATAGGCTCCCTCCTTCACCCCCCTTCCCCCACTGGGGATCAAGCTGCCAACCTGGATATGTGTCCTCAGCAGCAACCAAACCCTGACCTCCTGTCTCAGAGGTCATGCTCAACCCCAGAGCCACACCGGCCAGGAAAAATAAACATATTTAAGGCTCATTTGAGGTTCGTGTCGATTAACATCAAACACTGCAGACATATTTTACTTAACACTGTGTCTAGGTGATCAGCGTGTGACCCTTTGCAAACATACACTTCATTGCTGACATGACCTGGGACACGGAATCATATACTTCTGTACAAGTGGCTTCTTCCCTTCCACCCAGAAATATACTGTAAATTGTACTGACAAGGGCTGGGATCCTCCTCCAAGATGTAGCTGTAAGTTCCCTCCATATCTTCACCTGCTTCTTAATTCTGCAATTACTTCTCTTAAACTTAAAATTAAGGGGGATCTGCCTGGCTGGTGTGGCTAATGGTTTAGTGTTGACCTGTGAACCAGGAGGTCACTGTTCAATTCCCAACAGGGCACATGCTCGGTATGTGGGCTGATGCCAGTGTGGGGCGTGCAGGAGGCAGCCGATCCTTGATTCTCTCTCATCATTGATGTTTCTCTCTCTCTCTCTCTCCCTCTCCCTTTTTCTCTGAAGTCGATAAAAAATAAATGAAAACTAAAGTCCAAATCTTGGCCTCACTGAGAAGGTAACGCAGAGGCTCAAGGCAGTCTTTGATTTCCAAGTCTCCAATTCTAAGATCAAAACCACATTTTTGTT